GAGCAAATTAAATTCAACATGGACAAAGCAATGAAGAATTCTAAAGAAAAGAAACAATGTGCAAGGGTTGTTGTGATAAATGAGCTCAATTGAGTTGAATCAATTTCCTTTGCTAGTCAAGAGCCCTTTCAACCGACTAGAGTTAAGAAAAAGACGTGGAGGATGCTTACTTTGCACAAATTGAGAGCTCTTGGACCACTTCTATATCATCTCCAGAGAGATATTGGTATTGTTTATCTCAACCTCCTTGATTTGCTGACATAGTCTGGCTAAAGACTATAAACTTAGTGCTTTTACGAGGCAACCCAAGGTTTTGGTAGTTACTTTTCTTTGTTTTTTTTTGCTTGAGTTGTTTTGATGTTTGCTTTCATTTTGTAGGACTTTAGTATCCCCTTGATGATGTGATTCATTTGAGTTACAAAGGTCAAGAGCAATTCAGAAAGTGTAGATCACAAACAAAAGAGGGAGCCTCCTTCCACTTTTATCTTATTAGCTTGATATATGATTGATTGTCTGCTACTGGGAACTAAGTGCTAGTTATAATGTGGATTCACATGTGATTGATGTTTGATGTTGATTACGGTTTCTACTGGTTGCACTTGTCTGTTTGCTTATTTTTTGAACTCTTGGAATTTATGATTTTCCTTGCACTTGGATATGGTCGAAACTGTCATGATTTTTAGTGGATTGCTGTTTTTCTTCCACTGCTTTGATTTTGTTCCCATCTTTTAAGGGAGTGGTAGTTTGACTGGTTTCATTTTTTTCTCCTCGCTTCTTTCACTCTTTGATGTGTATTTACACATTGAGGACAATGTGTCATTTAAATGTGGGGGTGAGACAAAATCATTGATTTTTCACAAGCTTGTCCTCAAGATTTTGGTTTTGGGGTAAATATATGAAAATTTCTTTGTTTTGTGAATAGTTTAAAAAAACTTTTAGGAAAATTTTGAACATAAAAATTTTGTTTCTTTGAAAGTTTGGTTTTTGATTGTGAATATTGCTTAAGTTGGTTTTGATTTGAATTTGAAAAGATTGGGGTTGATGAGCATTTGGTTCTATCTTCTAAGAATGTTAGTAAATTGGCAGAGAACTTGGTTTTGGTAAATGACTTTAGTAAAGGAGGAAAAAAAAAAACCTCTAAGAGTTTGAGCCTAAATGTTTATTTCTTTTGACAGAGTACATTTATTGTGATTTTATCTCTAGAACTTGTCTTGAATCTCTTTTGAGGCTTAAAATTTCCTTTTGCATGCATAAAGATGATTTAGGCATTCATTTTCATTCCCATTTTGGCCAAATGTCCATCCCATTTACATTAATCTTTTGATTTACCCCTTTGAGCCGTAACCTTTTCTTTAAAGAAAATTGCATGGTTTAGATAGCCTTTTGTTTGAGAAGATGTAATTTTTCTTTCAATTTCATTACTTTAGTAAGTGCTATATAATACTTTTTGGGAAGAGTGAAGGAATTGAAAGGAAAAAAAAAAAGAAATTGGTCAATGCTTTGTGATTTTGTGTGTAAATAGGAAAAGAGAAGAGAAATAGAAAGGAAAAAAAAAGACATAATATGAAAGGATGATTGAAAAGAAGAGTAGAAAGAAGAAAGAAAGAAAAAAAGATTGGGAAAAAAAGTATAGATGAAAAAAGAAAAACAAAAAAGAAAGAGAAAGAAGAAAGGAAAAATATGATAGTTAAAAAAAAATCATCATACGCAAAAAAAAAAAAAAGTATGAAAACAGGAAAAAAAAAAAGAAAAGAAAAAGAGCATATGAGTTTGGTTTCTTAAAATTCCTTTATTCTTCTTGTGATTTTTATTGAAAAGCTTAGCACTTATTAAAATTTTTCTCCATTTATCATTTTTCATTTCATTATCCTACCTTATTCATTACAACCCTTGAGAAGTCCTTTTGATTTGTGTGTGCAATTGGATAATATAGTGGAGATTGAGATGATAAACAAGCCTATAGTAGATAGGTTGCAATAAATGGAATTGAGTGAAACACAAGCCCTTAATTGTTATGAGAGATGAGCGTAAATATTTGACTAGTAAGGGAGCTTCTATTGTAATTTATCTTTACCAAGTTAATTGTCTTGCTACCTGTATTGTTGGAAGATGGAAAAGAGTTCTTTGAAGACTTAATTCTTGATAGTTTGAATTGTTTCTAACTTGGTGATGTTTGCTTTTAAATTGTGTTTCTTTGGTTTTTCTTAGTTGTTTATAAATAAAAATCTTGAGGACAAGATTTGAGGAAGTGTGGGGGGAATTTGATAACTCTTTATTTTTTAATATATTTAAAGAATATTTTGAGTGATTTTTAGAGATTTATTAATGCATTTTAGAAGATTTCTAAGAGTTAATTGGAAGATTTGATTTTGAGTATTATTTGGGGGATTTTATTATAAATATCTTAATTTGAAATAAATTAAAATAATTAATATTAAGTTTAGGATTCAGTTGATTTTATCTTATTTTATTTAAATTTCTTAAAGTTTATTTCCTTTCCTTTTCTTTTATTTTTAGCCTTTCCTTTTTATTTGTTTTATTTTATTTTTCTTCCTTCCTTCAGCTTGCACGTGCTGCACAAGAGGACTGGGGGATTGATCAAGACGCACCGTTTGGACTGAAGGAGAGAAGGGTTCTGTTTTGAAAGGAGAGGCCGCCGAATGAGTGAAGTGGCTGGTTCTCGTTAGAGGAACAGAGGACGGCGCCGAACTGTTGTGGAAGAAGGGGAGTATACCATTCTTTTGCTGGAGCTCGACGGAGACAAGCAAGGAAGAGCTGTGGATCATCTCCTTCACCTGAAAGGCGCCGTGCTGGTTCTGGACTAGAGGGACGCTGTCGCAGACATCAGAGCTGAGGAGGAAGAGTTCAATGACAGTCTTCACTCCAACGGCTGGACCAGAGCTGCGTTTTGTGCTTTCAGTTTTCTCATTCCTTTCTCCTTTAATTTCAATCATGAATTTTTAATCTGGAATTATTGTTGCTGAATTGGAATTGCAAGTCATGCGTAGCTAATTTTGTTTTACAACCTAGAGGAACTAAGAAATTGTCTGTGATTTAGAGATTATTCCTGCTGTTTAGTTATACTTCTATTTAATTCAGTTTACTTAATCTTGTTTTTAATTATAACTTGCTTAGTGTTCGGCCACCATTGAGTTTGTTTTGGAAATTTAGGATTGAACTTGACAAAGAGAATCTTAAATAGACCATGAGATTAAGTAATGTAGAATTGGATTTAATCTAATTTGCACCTAGGATAGACATATACCTAGAGGCTTCATATAATCAAATTAGACTGAAATTGGACTAAATTGTACCATATACAATTGTATGACAGATTACATAATTAATTGAGGTAGAGTTATAAGTGGACCGACAAGTACTTTTAATTATTAAGACTCTAGATTAACGAATTGAGTTTAAGTATGATTAATTCAGTGGGGATAAAATCTAAAGAGCAAACAATAGATTAGTAACTCTAGGTTGTTCTTTTAAATACTTGTCCTAATTAATTTAGAAAGCTTGGTTTTATTTTGCTTTAATTTCTTTTCACTTGATTTCATTAAATCTTGATTTTCTCAACTTAAACAAAAAGATGATTTTTATTGCCTAATCACTGTTAACTAAGTTCTCTGAGGGATCGACCTTGAATTACCACTATCTATTTTTATAGCCCGTACACTTGCGATGCGTCTTAATATTTGATAGCATCATATGTGCAATCAATAGAGAGAGTTTAGGCAAAAATTATAAATTTGAGAAATAACGTAGATTGAAATATTACATTTAAAATTAAAGCAAATCCCCCTACTAGAGATTTGGATCCTCTCTTCTTATCATTTTTCTCTTCTTTTTCTCCTCATCCCATCCTTACCATTCTAAATATAAGATCAACTTAAGTCTTAACTAATTAGAAAAATGAGAAAAAATGCATGTTGAATTTCAAAACGATAAATACGTGATTTTAACAAATTCTGACGTATAAAAATTATTACAAGAATAGTTAGCATCAACTATTTGTCATTTTGAAATCTAATGGGTATTTTTTTTGTCATTTTCCCTAGTTATTTGTAATTTATGATATAGAGAATTTGTGACATTTATTCAAATATGACTCTACTATTTAATTACTAAAATTTAATACGCAAAGATAAAATAATATTGTTCAATAAATAGGATATATTATGGAAAAGAAAATTTTAATATATGGTTGACAAGAACAAATGTGACCTTATATTTAATTAGAATCAGGCTAAAATCTTCAAGTAGACGTTATATTTATGATAAGAAGCAGTGCGTGTGAGAGAGAGAATTTTGCTATACTAGCATGACAGCGCAGAACCTCTCCATTGCGCCTTCATTTAATTGAAACGGCCTCGTTTCCTTTTTTTTTTTTTTGGAGAAAAATGGCAGCTTTCTTTTCCAATCCCGTTTGGCATCCATCCCAAATTTGTTTCGGCCTCTCCTTTTTTTGCAGCTGAGCAAGAAATTCTGGGTTTTGTCTCCAAAAAATTTCGCAAGTCATATGTGAAAAGAAATCATCGAAGAAGTTGCTCACTGGTTCACCACTTGTGTTTGTTGGTTGCCTCTTCGTTCGTTATATACCTCTGTTTTATAGTTTGTATGCAATCCTTTGAGTTTTTTGGCAGGTTGTTTCTTACGATCATTTAACCAGGAAAAGAAAGAATCATTTCATTTTATATTTATACTTTTGCTGGCCTCTTACATGTTTCATCACCTTTGTCCTGGGTGATTTTTGGATGATCACCCGATATCAGTTTGCCAAATCTGGGATGCACACGAAACGGGACTGGGAAAGAAAGCTGCCAATTCTTCTTTTAAAATAAGCAAACGATACCATTTAAATTAAATGGCGGCGTAATGGGGAGGATATGCAATGGAGAGGTTACTCGCCGCTAATATGATCCATCTTCATGAATTATAGGTAACACGTCTCAAGTGTGGTAGCTTCATCTTTGGCCTTCGCATGATTTGCACAATTCATGAAAGCCCTCGCCGAAATAGCTAAAGGTGCAACCCAACCTTCGATTCTGCCAGCCTGGAACAAAGATCTTCTAAGCGGAAGAGACCCACCAAACATTGCACTCACCCATCATGAGTACGATGAAGTGGTCGGCAACCCTGTTCCCTCCACCAACTTTGTTCATCGGTCTTTCTTCTTCGGACCCTCCGAAGTCTCATCCTTCCGTAGATTACTTCCCAACCACCTAACCCAATCAACCTCATTCAAGCTCGTCACGGCTTGTCTCTGGTATTGTTGTACAAAAGCTTTAGAACTAGACCCACAAGACGATGTTCGTCTCATGTTCCTGGCTAATGCACGTATGGGACGTGATAGATTCAACCCTCCATTACCAAAAGGGTATTATGGGAACGCCGTGGTGTTTCCAACGGCGTTTTTGACTACCGGAAAACTGTGTGAGAGTCCGTTAGAGTATGGTTTGGAGTTGGTTAGAAAAGCAAAGGATGTAGTGAATGGCGAGTATTTTCACTCTGTGGTTGATCTGTTGGTGAGCAGAGGTTGTTTATTGTTGCAGATTTTTCTCGTCTTGGATTTAAAGATGTTGATTTTGGGTGGGGCCAGGCTATGTATGCTGGTCCTGCTTTGAGTGGACTTGGCACATTTCAAGGATTCACTTTCTACGTTGGATATACGAATAGTAAAGGTGAGGAAGGAAGAATCATACCTCTTTGCTTGCCACCAGAAACCATGGAGAAATTTGCCAAAGAGTTGGATCTCTTGCTTAACAATGCTGACCAATCTGCCATTGATGGTTAATGCGTAGATGCATGCAAAAATGCCGTCAAGTATTTGCATAGTTATTGTGTTTGTGTGTGTGTGTGCGCGCGCGCATGTCGTATGTATGTTCATGTTTGTTTATGATGATGTCCGTTGTAATGCATTGAGGCTGTTCTGCAGTAGCATACCATGGGGTACGGTAGTGGAGGTGCCTTTATTAATATGAGAGTTTTGTTTAGCAAACCATAATTTTCCAGTGAAATTGTTGCTAAGTTAGATTGAAGTTTACTAGAAATCCCAATCTGATTCTGGGACTGGTGGATGATATGGGATGATGATTGAGCCAGACACATACTTTTGATCAGCTTGAACCATTTTGGTTGCCGGTAATCAGAGACATTATTGCTTGTGTATGGTCAGTTTGGTCACCTAATATATGCTTGGGGATGAAGCCCTCCGGTGTCACCAACTAAGGAAAAGAAGAAAATATGTGACCAATTAAGGCTTTAATAAAATTTTGTACCATAATGGCTGCTACCTTTATGGTTTGATCCATTATCTCTGAAAGTAGTGGATGTTAGTGGATAATTGTATTATGTAATGAACATAATGGTTAAAAGGAGCCATACTTTTTCTTTGCCAAAAAACAGAACTACAGATGATGAAATTTCTAATTTAACACTAACACTGCATTGATTACAGAACACTCTCAACACGGATTAGGGAACTTTGCAGCGGCTGACAAGTGACCTGGCTTTCATCTTACATAAAGAGAAAGAAATACAGACAAAACAAGAAAGTAAAATAGAAGAGCAGATCCAGTCGTGCTCGCTTGTAATACACCATCCCATTCCCAAATGTAGTCGAAACCTCGCCAGCAGGATGATTATTTCTGCAACTTTCTCCAACCATCTATGTAATCAAGCAAAGTTGTCACATATTCTTAAATTATAACAAGTATATATAGGCTTAGATACAATTCACATGTGTCACATGCTAACAACAATTCACTAATTTATTGCAACGCGCATGCTCTTCAACCAGCCTTAGGGCCTACATTATATTTATATTCACATGAGATTGAGAGTAACAAACGTAACATTAAGAAATTTTTTTGAATAAAAATACGTAAAAATTTTGAACTTATCATCATAGTAAACAGTTTCTCTAGATTGATGATATGTTGCAATTCACAACAACAATCTAGCAAATGAATAATCTGATTATCTGGGTATCACAATTGTATTGTAAGAAAAATGTTTACCTATTAGTGTTGGAATCTTCTCTTTATCTTTGCCTTCAAAATAGCAACTTGAACATAAATCCAGTTGTACGTGTTTTCAAAGAAGTGGAAAAAGGAATGCCGCCAAGACTTTTTGAGAATTAAAGTCCCACAAACTCCCCAAAACCCAGTAATGAAGCCAAGAGCCATGCTAGCATAAAACCCAAAGCTTATGAGATTATCATCTCCATCTGCATCAATGTCACGTGCATTATTGGGATTCAGATTTGAATTCCCATCTTCTGGACATCTCTCTGTAAGTGGCATGCCACAAAGCCCCTGGTTTCCTATATAACCGGAGGCATTGAAGGATTGAAGTTGGGTGCCCGTTGGAATTTTTCCTGATAAATTGTTGAAGGCCAAGTTCAACATACTGAGAAAACTCAAATTTGAGAAGCTGATTGGAATTTCACCAAAAGAGAGTTGTATGACAAATCAAGTGATTCCAGCCTTTCCATTTGACCCATGTTGATAGGAATGCATCCTTTCAAATGATTTCTGGACAAGTTCAGGGAAGCCAATGCCACAAGTGCAGCTATGCTACTTGGGATTTCTCCTATTAAGTCATTGCATGAGAGATCAATGGTTTTCATGAATCGAAGATTCTTACTGTACTCAACATATGCTCCTTTCCATGACAACATTGCTGTGTCCATGAATGATGATTCAGAATGGTTTCCAAAAACATAATAAGAAATTTCTTGGCTCACAGATGTCATATTTGACATAGCATTCAAATTACCAAAGCAATGAGGTATATTTCCTGTTAAATTATTTTTTGAGAGATCTAAGATTTGAAGATGTGGCAAATTACATAAATTTGTAGGAATGCTTCCGTGAAGCCTATTTGCTTGCAAACGTAAGCCGATCAAATTGTGGCAGTACTGTCCTATCCATGATGGCATTTTTCCAGTCAAATTATTCTGTCCAAAATCAATGAACAGCAAGGCCGAAGAATTCATCAAAGCTGGCAAATTCCCAGAGAGGTTATTGCTATTCAGATGGATACTTTCAAGATAGTTCAAAGTACCAACTGAGTTTGGTATTGGTCCAGAGAAATGATTGTTTTCCAATCTTAGAACATCCAAGGAAGGAAGTTGGCCCCAACAATCAGGAAGTTTTCCCGACAAAAAATTGCTTGAAATGTCAAGATGATATAAACCTGCTTGAAGAGTTGCACAAATGACAGATAAGGTTCCTGCAAGCATATTGTTTGAGAGAACCAACGCCCTTGTTGCATTTGGTGGGAAATATGGTAGGGGACCGGAGAGATTGTTGAAACTCAAATCCAAAATAAGATTGTCAATTTTCAAGAGTGATTTTGGCAACTCCCCATAAAGTTTGTTATGGGAAAGATTCAAGTATTGTAAAGAAGATTGCCAAAGCCATTGAGGAATTGAATCTGAAATTGACGCATGCGAAATGTCCAACCTGTTAAGCTCCCTTTGATACTTTAACCAGCAGGGAAAGTGGGGACCAAAATTACACGATGCTGCATGAAATTCTCGCAATTGAAAAGGTGGCACCCAATGCGAACTGAAGTTGAAAAAAATCATATTTTGTGACGCATCTAAAACTGTCAAGTTAGAGAGAGTTGAAAGATGTGTTTCATTAATGACAGAATTCAACCTATTGTTGGACAGATCTAAGTACGTCAACGATATAAATCCGGCAAACACCGGCAATGGCCCTGTTAAATTGTTATGACTCAAATACAATCCGGAAAGGTGAGATAAGTGCCCAAATGATTGTGGAATTGACCCATGAAGATTAGTGTTCTCAAGATCTAAAATCTCTAGATTTGAAAATCTTGAAAAATTGGGAAATGGTCCGCCACTAAAAGGATTGTCACTTAAAACCAACTCCTCTATACTATTTTGAGCGCACCTTAACTGTGGTATCCAATTACTTAATTGATCTGAAAAACTGTTATAGGACAACCATAACGTTTTCAATATGCACAAATTTTGGATGGATTTTACCATGCTATCCTCAAGTTTATTCCCTTGAAGATCTAGAAATTCAAGAGACGTGGTATTTGTGAAGGCATCGGACGGAATACGTCGCAAAGAACTTTGAGAAAGATATAAAGATTGAAGAGAAATCATATTTGAAAAAGCTTTGGGACCAAGTTGCAAAGGATTTGAACCAAGATCTAGAACTTGAAGGGAATTTATATTCAGAGCATTTGGAAAAATATGTTCCAAAGCGTTATAAGAGAGATCAAGCTCTGTTAAGACGTTGCTAACGTTAGACAACCACGGTAGAATTGAAGAGTCTAAATTATTTCCTGAAAGAGAAAGGACTTTGAGGGATGCGGAAGAGTTTGTATGGACAAAAGAGGCAGGATTGACATGATGAAATATAAGAGCACAACTGTCCAAGTAAATCTCAGACAGATGAGGAGCTTTGGATAATGATGATTGCCAATCAACAGCTTGACTCAGATTAACGCCTGAGAGGGAAAGAGATCTCAAAGAAGAAAGGTGAGAAATCCACTCAAGATCTTTCACAATCAAATCATTATAGCCAAGGTGGAGATATTCCAAACTGGATAGATTCTGCAGTCCACGAGGAATAGTGCCACCAATTGAAGCATACGAAATACTCAACCCTCTTAGTTGACCAAGTAAGCCAATGCATTCTGGAATATTGCTCCCTTCGAAATCGTTTTCATCGAGATCCAAGTAAGTTAGATGCCGCAAATCACATAATGAGGAATCAATATTACCTCTCAATCGAGCAAGATCGAGCTCGATAACGTGACCAGTCAAATTACTGCATGATACTCCACTCCACTCACAGCAATCAGCTTCACTTTTCCAGGTGGATAACATGCCGAACTCATCAACGAAACCATGTTTTAATTTGAGAAGAGCTTCCTTATCTGTCTCTGCGCAACTGATGTTTACATTGGAACATCCTGCACACCAAAAGAGACATAAAACTCCAACAAGCCAAAAGAAATTGAACTTAGAGCTGAACATGCCTAGGATTCTTTTCATTTGGATATGGTAAGAACAGGGGAGGCGTCTTGTGGATGTGAAGTGAGTGATCCATGGGTCATTTATACACAAGCGGTTCACGAAAGTTTTCAAATAATTTTATTTTAGAATGTAGAAATATTGGCGTCAACTAACGTGATAAATATTAATAACTCAGTAGAGGAAGATTTTTGGTTCATGAAAAAGGACTATAATTTTTATTTAAAGTAAAAAAAATTGATGTTTAAAACATTCTTATCATTTAATTAATTTGATTAGTCTAAATTTTCTACTCAGAAAGCAAATTATCTGAATCAGCTAATGAAATTTTATTTGAAATGATTGTTTAATTTATAACCTCAAATTAATTCATCAATAGTTAACATTAATAACTCTCATATGAGGCATTCTGGTCATGAAAGGTCTCTAAAAATAATACGGAGAAAAGGTTGTCGTTGCATGAACGATTGATTTGTGTCATTAATCTTTAACAACGTCAGTGGCACACTCATCAACATCACTATCATTTGAGGAAATTACCATTGACGATTATGTGGTTGGAAATTTTTGTTCATGCTGTGAGAAGGTTCGTCTCCTTTTTCGTTCTTCAATAGATGAACATATGGATCAGACTTGAACCAAGATCTACGTATAAAGCACAAATCACGCCAAATTTCTTTTAATTTTATTGAAGTTAATATTAATTATCTGAGTCTAATGCCTTCAGTAGAATTTTAAATTATCCATCCACATATATCATTATTTATTTATTCTGGTGAAATACGAGGAGCATATTTTACCAGCAGTAAAAGCTAATCTCTTTTGGGTAATATAATAAACAAATCTCTTCAGCTAAATTTTCTCCATTCACAATTATTAAGAACCAATCATCTAATTGACACGCATATTGTCTCATTTTGATTGGTTGAAGAATATATGTGTGTGAATATATGTATTACGTATAAAAATATTGTTATAATTCATCAAGTAGATGTCCGAAAAACATCACAGAACATCAATATTCTCTCAAAACCTTCCCTAATTTTCTAAAAAATTTTCCTATTTTTATTTTTTTTATAATTAATTTGATCAGTTAAGTTTTCTCTTAAAATGGAAACTCGTTTGATAAAAGTTCATTTGAAATAATTATTTAATTTCTAACTTAAAATTAATCAATAGTTAATATCAATCACTCTCATTTGAGGTATTAGGGTAACAAAGGGCGTCCAGAAAAACAGAAATAAGAAGTTGCTGTAACATTCATGACTAACTTGTATCATTAATTTTTAATAATATATCTGACCGTTTTCTACGAAATTTTTGTGATCGCAAATTTTCATTCATGTCATATGAAAAGGTTCATCTCTTTAACCGTTTCAAGCTTGAATATGCCAATCAAGCTTGAATCAAAATATAAATGACGCCGAATTTAATATTCTGAACTTAGTATTAATTACATTTATATGAGACTATAAATGACGCCGAATTCCTTTTAATATTATTGAAATTAATATTACTTTCATTTATATATATGAGACTATAAATGACACCGAATTTTTTTTTAATATTATTGAAATTAGTATTAATTTTATTTATATCAGTCTCATTCCCTCAAAATATAAAACTTAAATTGATCATCCACATATATCGTTATTTGTTTATTCTCGTGAAATACGAGGACCATACTCCACTGACCGTAACCATTAAGGCTATTCTCTTCTAATTGAACAGTTAGATATCAAAATGTGAAAGAAAAAAATGAGTATGTTGCGTTAATTTATTAGTGCTTCCTCCCAATAATATAAATAATATAAAAATTAGATAACTAATTTAAAAATATTGGTTAAATTAATTATTTGAAATAAATATATATTGATTTTTTTAAAATGTCATTACCAAGCGCATGCATTATAATTATCTTTTAATAAAATCTTGATATGTGTAATTAATAAATTTGTTTAAAATAAATTATAAATTATGACACAAAGGGAATTATCAGAGTCAGAGTAAATTCCTACCTTATCTTTTTATAGCTAACGTGCGTCAGTTTGATTGGTAAGGGCAAGGCGGTGCCTTAAATAATGACTCTTTTGTCTGTACCATATAAAATGGCAAAATCACTATTAAATTTTAAAATAATAAATATGTGATTTTAACATATTTTGACTCAAAATCATTAGAAAAGTAGTCAAATACTCAAATTTTTTTATAAGAGTAGTTAGCATGACATATTTATCATTTTAAAATTTAACAGATATTTTTCCTTTATTTTTCCTAATTAAGTTACATAAATTAAAAAAATTAGTTATTTATAAAAAATGTATTATTTTTTAAAAATATCATCTTTAACTAGTTGCATTAAAATTAGCCATAACTGAAAATCCTTTTAATATGTACAATCTCTCTCGAGCATTAGAGATTTTTTTTTAAACCACTTTAATCCTTTTTGTATTTCCAGGATACTTAAAAATCTCACTCCCTACTATAATTAATGGATTACTCTTCATTTGATAACCCCTTTATTTCTTGGGGAGCATTGAAAATCTATAAGTAATTTTAGAAAATTCGAAATAGCGTGGCTTAAGTCTCTATTTTAAGATCTCAACTTGCTTTCCATTCCTGAAAAGCATGCAACCGAGCATCGTTCATTAACGGCTTTTTATTCTTCTTAACCTCTCTTTGCTTGCACGATAATATTTATACATACTTAAGTCACAATCCTGTTAATTTGATCAGTCTTAATTCTTATTAAGAAGGCAAATTGTTTAAACCAACTGATTAAAGTTTATTTGAAATAATTCATTAATTTATAACTTAAAATTAATTAATGGTTAATATCAATCATTCTCATTTCTGGCATTTTGGTCATGAAAAATGTTTAGAAAAGTATAAATAAGAAGTTGTCGGGGCATGCATAACTGACTTGTGCCATTTATTTCTAGTAATGCGAGTGGCAATCGAATTTATTATTACCATCACTATCCTTGACAATGATGTGCTTGCAAATTTTTGTTCATACCGTGTGAGAAGGTTTTTCTCCTTTGTTCAATAGATGAATATACCGATCAAACGTGAATCAAAATCTATGTATAAAATATAAATCACGATTAATTTCTTTTAACTTTGTGTAGTTAATATTAATACAAGGCAACAGCGGAGGGACTGTGGCTTTTCCAACTTTTCATACGTGTAAGTCATAATTGAATTAAAACTTAAAAGGTTAATTTTTCTCTTAAACTAAAAACAAAATAGACTAATATGTATTAACATAATTCCGACCTTATCTTTTCTTAGATACCACGTATAAATTGGTTGAAGAAGATACATATCAGGAGCTCCATTGACTTGAAGGTCAAAATAAATAAAAATTAAAAAGAATAAAGACTCGTTTGGCTCTTCTATAGAATATTCTACACGTAAAGACATAGATATTGCAGTAGTGGTAATAGAATTAATAAATGGTTAACATCAATCAATTCCATGTGAGGCATTATGGTCATGAAAGGCGTCTTAAAAAGTAGAAATAAAAGATTGTCGTGGCATGTATGACTGAGTTGTGCGATAAATTTCTAATTACGTAAGTAATACTTCTCGAATTTAGCAACACTGACAATCAACATCATTTGTGGAAATTATCATTAACAATTACGTGGATGGAAATTTTTATTTATGCCGTATGAGAAGGTTCATCTCCTTTGTTTTCTTCTTTTTCAATAGATGAATATATATACCAATTAAGCTTGGGCATATAAAAGATAGATTACATTGAATTCCCTTTAATTTATTCAAACTATTAATTTATCAATGACTCTCTCGCCTTCAATAAAACTTCAAATTATTCATTCATGTACTCCCTCTGATCTACAATATAAGTCACTTCTAGAAGGATTACTTGGTTTAAAATATGAGTCACTTAAAGAGTAATTAATACTTATTTATTAATTTTGTCCCTACAATTAATACTTAAATATAACTCATTGTATTTTTAACTCTCTTCCACAGGTTTATTTAACAAACAAAATTGAAAAAAAAATTATTTAAAACACAACTAATGAATTAATTAACATTTTTTAATATTGACGAAATAGTTAAAATGACTTATATTGTGGACCAAAGGGAATACATCATTATCTATTTATTGTGGTGAAACAGGAGGGGCATTACAACTAATCATTTTAAGGTAATAGACAAATCCATTCCAACTAAATGTGCTCCATTCACAAGGATTACGCATCAAACGTCTAATTCATCTATCTAGCCACTTATTTAAGGTGTGGGAGTGCTACGACGCATATTGATCTGATTTCGGATCCCCTAAGCCAGTTAATTAAGTGAAAAACACACTCCAAATTAAATTAAAAAACATAAATACATATATAACCAATTAGATATCTTTTTTATCAAAATACAAGAAAAATATGTATAATTAGTAGCTTGTTCATAGCATGAACTAGCTTTGATTGATCAGAAATAGAATAGTAGGCATATATTATATAATTCCTGGCTTTTCTTTTTATAGATACCGTGTATTTGTTTGATTGGTTGGGGCATGCATACATACATCCCCCGAACTCCATTGACTTCAAGTTCAAAAAAAAAAAAAAAGAAGAAGAAGAAGAAGAAAAAGGAAAAATGCTTCTACACGCAAGGACATAGATATATTTTGAAGTATGATGAGAGTAGGGGGTCCGAAAAATATAACACAACTATATTAATAAATTTTATTTGTTTTCGAACATATTTTCCTCTGATCCATACTTCAAGTCTCTACATTAAACTGTTTTTGGTTGAAACTCTCGGTTGAAACAATAATATGATGAAGGGGAACTGGGAATTATTGTATTAAGTAAAAAAAATTATATGCCCGCAGAATCTACTGAGGCAAGTAAATATGAGCTAGAAATAAAATAAATTTGATTCTGGCACAAAAATGTTTAATCTATTATCTTTGTAAGTTGAACCATCATTATTTGCGTGGGCAATTTTTTTAATTAATTTAATTTAATTAATCACTAATTAATTAACAAGAAAAATTCATAACTTTGTGTGTGAACTCTTGAATCATTTAAATGTGGTAGTGTTATTATATACAGCCCAAGATATGATCATCCTTGAAAGTTGCCCTTTAGACGCTCCAATGCTACCAGGAGCTTTTGTCTCGATTCTATATCTTATGTTGCCAAGAAGGAGTGTGCGTCTGCGTGTGAAGGGTGTGTGGGTCTTTAAATTGTCTATATTAATTAAAAAAATGATGTTATAACCCCACTGTTAGTTCCTTACCAAACATTCGTCAAACAAGAACTAAAAGAAACAAATTAAAATCATTAACAAGTAAACATATATAATATTGAATATATTTTGAATTAGGGAACTTACAACAGCTAGCTGGTGACCTAGCTTTCATCTTACACAGAAGCATAAAGAGAAAGAAGTCTAAACAAAAACGAAAGTGACATATATAGAAGAGCAGATCCAGTCTTGTAATTCACCATCCCAATAGTTAAAACTCGCCAGCAAGATGAGAATTTCTGCAAGTAGCTTGCAGGGTTGCATTATATTAGTTGTGTATTCACGAGATTGAGATAAACAAATGTAACTTTAAGAAATTTTTTTTGCATAAAAAATTTTGAAACCTTTGAACTTATCAACATTATAAATAGTTTCTCCAGATTGATCACGTATTGCAATGCACAACAATAATCCAGCGGATGAATCTTATTATCATGGTGTAACAATTATATAGTAGTTTAAAAAAAAAAATGTTTACCAAACGGCCATGTTACACTGAGTCTTTGTGACCATTCTTTCCTCTGTCAAATTTGAAGGGGAGGAACCCTGTGTCCACTTGTTTAGTAGCCATGTCTCTCCAAATTCTTCAACGCCATCCTTCCTCTGAATTCAGTATGTCTTCCTGCCATCCCCGAGCAGTTGGTCTCTCTTCTACTCAAAGACCCATCAAACCACCAAGCTCCCCAGCAGGGCCACTGTCATGTCATCAACTCTGGGATGCTTCTATACCCTTTTTTATTGCGCCTCTTCCTGTTTGCTTCTCTTCGACACTCTGATTCGCTGTTACTCTCTTGGCCTCTTTCCTGAAGAAGCTGTTAGGTTTGGTATATCTTCCCTAAACTGCCATGCATTTCTGACTTATTGTTCCTTTGACAGCTATACTTATTCCTTCCTCTGTCATGCCTGTGCCAATTCAAACTGCGTTCACCTTGGAATGCGGATTCATTCTGTCATATTCAAAGTGGGTTTTCACTTTCACTTATATGTACAAACTGCTTTACGTCATATGTACTCAACCTGGGGTCTCTTAATCGAAGCGGCGCAAGTGTTCGACAGAATGCCTGGAAAAAAAAAATACTGTGTTTACATTACTGGCTTGATTAAATGCGGTGAGTTTGACCTTGCCTTGTCATATTTTATAAAATGCCAGTTCGGAGTGTTTTCTCCTGGACAATTATTATGGATGGATTCACACGCATGAATAAGCCTAGTAAATCATTGACTACGTTTAGGGAAATGGTTATTTGAGATAGCATAAGACCAACTGAAGTGACTCTTCTGACCATTTTCCCAGCCATTTCAAATCTTGGGTTCATTGTGATTTGTCAATCAGTCCATGGCCATGCGGAAAGAGAGGCTTCAATGCCTCTGATATACGCATTATGAATTCACTGATATAATCTTATGCAAAATGTGGATGCATAGCAAGTGCAAGCAGATTCTTTCAGGAGATATCTGCTTACAAGAAAAATTTGGTATCATGGACATCAGCGATCTCAGGTTTTGCAATGCATGGTCTGGGAAGAGAGGCTGTAGAGTATTTTGAAACCATGGAAAAGGCTGGGATCAAGCCAAATCATATGACGTTTTTGAGTGTTTTAAACGCGTGTAGTCATGGAGGATTGGTGGAGGAGGGGCTCAAGTTTTTCCATAAAATGGCTAATGATCTTCAGCTTCTGCTTCTGCCAGATATCAAGCACTATGGCTGTCTAATAGATATGCTTGGAAGGGCAGGCAGGTTGGAGGAAGCTGAAAATATTGCTTTGCAGGTACCTCCTGAGGTTGCCAATGTCGTGATTTGGCGGACACTTCTACGTGCTCGCAATTTGCATGGAAATGTTGAAATTAGTCAGAGGGTGATGAGGGGAATACTGGAGATGGAGAGAGAGTATTCTGGGGATTATATTCTTATGTCCAATATTTTTGCTGGTGTTGGAAGGTTTGGAGATGCTGAGAGGTTAAGAAAAGTAATGGATATGAGAACTGCTTTTAAACTTCCTGCCTACAGTTTATTCTAAATGCTATAACATTTCTATTTAAAACAGACAGGCAATTTCGCTATAAAAGATATTCAGAATATGCTTAAGGCATCAAATTGTGGTAATGCACATTACTGTATTTGTTTTGTTTCCTTCGGGTTTTTAACTGTCTAGAGCATATAAAAAGGTTGTTTGGAATTTTCATTTACGAATTTTCAAATGTGTTTGTGCTCCACCTTCCAAACCTTGGTGGCTTCTGCATGAAAGACTTTTGTCTGATTTTAGGAATACAAGAATAGAAACTATTTACGAAGTTCCCACGTATGAATCTAACTTGATAGCCTATCCAAAGCAGCTTGGTGTCTAATGTATGTCCGACAGTGATGCCTGGGGCTTTGGCATATGAGTGCTTCCTGGACTCACAAGCATTCCAATAGTTATTTTAACTCTAGATCTTCCATTCCTTCCTGGGATCTTGACAAGGTTTTGCTGAAAGCCAAATTCTGAGTTGTTTCTAACTTAAAATCTCCGTTTCTTGTGTTTTTCTTTAATTAATTAATGCCTTCCACATTTACGAAACATATCTCAGTTTGGATAAATCATATACGTCAATATACATTATTTTAATGTATGTGATGGAGTAGTGCTCTGTTTTGACATTTTGAGCTTCTGAATTTTGCCATTTGAATTTCTGATTTCTACCGTCTGGTTTTACCTTTCTTTCAAAGCCAACCACAAATTTAATTCATGAGTTCCAATTCCCTTTATTGGGAGTTTAATATCTAATCTCTTCCATTCCTATTTTCTGTGATGTCATCCTCAGTTGAAGAGCTATGGTTCAATTGCAAGTGAGAACTGCGGATCTTCTCTATGCTTCTCTTCATTGTAAACTAAAAATGACCTGAAGTAGCAGAGATCTAAAAGTGAAGCAGAGCAAGGAAACACATCCTGGCCAGAATTTGTGCCCACAAGGGGACCTGATAAAACCCGGAAGAAGGATTATATACGTTACGGAGGGCATATCTTAATTGGTGTTCGTGGTCCAAGAGCGGATGCTGCAACACTGAGAAAGCAATTGATTGAGTTTTGCGATCAGAAGCATATGCTTAAGCTTGATAATGAGAGCCTCCCTATAGAAATATCACTAAAGGTATAATGTTCTTGATCATGTATTATGCAGGAGGGTGGTCTATCCAACCCTTCGATACACTGCTACTGGTGGCAAAATCATCAGTGAAAACGGTGTAGGAACCCTTTTATTAGTCACCACAAGTTTAAAGCAATGCATTAAGCAATTCAGAAAGTTGAACTTTGTCAAGGGAGATAGAGACCCAGATCCACAGCCTTGTTTTGGAGTGTTTCATGCCACTCAAGTTCATACCAATGCTCAAATAAACAAGTTTTTGTCAACCATGGTTGAATGGTACAGGTTTACAGACAATAGCAATTACATAGTACGAGGTTCTATTGCAAAGTTATATGCTGCCAAATACAAGCTCCGTTCACGAGCAAAAGTATACAAGATTGGTTCTCGAAATTTGAGCCGTCCGTTCAAGGAGAAAGAAGGCCAGTCTCCTGAGTACCATAATTTGCTGAGGATGGGTCTTGTTGAATCAATTGATGGCCTCCAACATACTAGGATGTCTCTTGTGCCTGAGACGGACTACACTCCATTTCCAGGTAATTGGATACCTGACCATGAAAAGGCATTGCTAGAATATATAAAACTTGAGGATCCGAAGATTTTGGAGGAACAAAGGAATTCCATGAAGGAACAAGGCCTTGTTTCACCTCAGGATTACATTTCTATGCTTGTTTGGAATTTACAAAAGAAGTTCTTTCTTGGTAGATCAGGTTTCCTTAATACAGAGAGACGAAAGCATTACAAAAAGCAATGGGCAATTGCTGGAAGGCTCCGACCAGGGCAAACATATTGACGTAAGCAAAGAAGAGGAAGATACTGATGAAAGGATCGATGAAGCACGGATGTCACAAATGGTTTTGTAAGATGTAACAAATGGTTTTGTAACTCTGTAATTTTTATTTAGTTATCTATAACACGTCCCCCCCCCCCCCCCAAAAAAAGAATGTTTCAAGAAATTTTGAGTCTCAAATGGCAGAAAATTTGACACTGCTTTTTTTTTTTTTTTAAGGTAAAGTTTTCAAACTATGGTCCATATATGATGATTATCAGTGCATTTGTAGAGTTCCTTTCTAGTGTCTTAACTACAGCAGCACACTGCATGTTGAATAATGTAATTAATAGCCTTGGAAATGATATTGAAAGCTAAGAGCGTAGAAGATTAAACCATTGGTCAAATTATTTGCCTAACCTTTGTGTTGGTATATATTGTCGTGACTTGAGATACAAGTTGTAATGATAATTGATAGGGTAAGCTCTCTAGAGAAGGCATGAGTTTAATGCAGCAACTAGTGATCAATGTGTCAGTATGCATCAGCTTTCAGAAATTGCTGAGCATCTTGAGGTAGCCTCTTGCCACATATGGTATTGCTATTAGTAGGTGCCTCTTAAAAGTGGCCAACATGTTGCCTTCCAAGTCCATGATGTTGATACTTTCTGTCTTAAATATAAGATCTCGTTTATAGTTACAAATTAGATCTTATATTTAAGATTAGAAGTAGTATTTATCATATCGGAGCTGGATTCAAATATTCAATTATACATGCAAATATAAGAATTACTATGTGATTATACTGTGGAAAACATCAGAATGCTGAAGAACATCCAGAATATGCATTTTTATTTCATCTGATAGCCTAGGAATTTTTGGTGAACTTTTATTCTCCTTTTGGCACCAGATGCATCCAACATATCTTTTTTAAATATTGTTTGCGGTCCTTAATATAAGAGTTAGATAATGATTTGATTTTCAAGCCAAAAAAAAAGGTAATGATTTGATTTAGTTTTAAATATAAGATTTTATTTCACTGTCTCTTAAATTTATAATTTATTCTTTAAAGTATTCCTATTATATTAATGGTAGTTATGATTAAAATGATACTTTAGAAAAATTAGCCCATACTTCTTAAAGATAACTAATTTAACTAAATTTTTAATTTATCTAAATTAGTTAAGTAGTTCTTACATTTATGATTAAAAGCAATGAGTTTTGTGAGCATGACACAGAGGAAATAACAAATGATGACTTATTTTGGTAATAATTTTTGCAGAGACGAAGAGGAAACGAATATGTAAATGATAAATGGGCTATTTACTACCTTCAGTCCTTATTATAAGAGTTAGTTTGATATTTAATTTGGTTCTAAATATAAGACTCCAATTCACTTTATCTCTCATATTTATTTATTTATTTTTTAAAGTAGCCCTTGTAATAGTGCACATGTTAAAAATTTCATTAAATGATAGTTCTAACTAATATATAAGATTAGATAACACCTATTTATTACAAATAACTAACTTAATAAACTTTTTTAACCTACTCAAATTAGTTAACTAGCTCTTATATTAAAGATTGGAGGTAGTATTTTATTATTTGATGGTGAGTGTATTTATGTAGTATTTTTCTTTTCAACTCGTTTTGACGGTTCTCATGCACACGTTTATCAGTAG